CAGGACACCTTGATTCAGCTGCACAGGCTATGGCATCTGAAGAGCTAAAGCCATACGAAGCATGGTCTGTGAATAAGAGCCCTCAGAATTGCGGGAAACTAACCCTAAACCCCAGACCCTACACCCTAAACCTCCAGCCCGGAACCCCAAGCCCGAAACCCTGTCTCAACCCTCAGCCATGAAAATCCAATCATCAACAGAAGCCCTGATGCCTAACTCCCAAAGGCCCCAAACCCGAAAACTCTCAAACGGAATCTTACAGCCTAATCCCTAAACCCCAAACCCTAAACCCTAAACCCTTTACCGCATACCCTAGACCCAAAACCTCACACTTCTTTGCGCCACTGGGCGGCATCCTCTGAGGTTGCACGCCGGCCTGAAACATTAGCTGCGATGTATGCCTGCCAACCACTTCAAGGCTGGGCTTCCCCGGACCTGACGCAGGACTCGCAAAGCGGAGTGCTCCTGGAGCCGGCTTTGCCTGCATCTGCCTGCTGCTTGGCCAGCGCCGCTTTCTGAGAGCATGAGCCTTCTCAATGGCATTGGCACTCTTTTTGGTGAGAACACCGCAGCAGAAGAGCTCAGATCGGCAAGAGAGGGACTCCAGGTTCCATGGCTACCCCATACCCTAGACCCTAAACCCTAAACCCTAAACTCTAAACCCTAAACCTCACACTTAAGACCAAGCTCCCCCTACCCAAAGCCCTAGGGCGGTCTAAGGCTTAGGGCTTCTGATCCCTAAACCCTAAACCCCTAAACCCCAAACCCTAAACCCTAAACCCTAAACCCTAAACCCCAAACCCCAACCCTGTAAAACCCTCTGAACCCTCTAAATCCTCTAAATCCTCGAAACCCTCTAAACCCCATAAACCCTAAATCCTGTAAACCCCTCTGAACCCCTGTATAAACCTTAAACTCTATAAGCCATAAAACCATGAACCCCTATAAACGCAGAAAAAAACGATAAACCCTCTAAACCTCCAAAACCCCATTAACCTTACAAACTCTATAAACTCCATACACACATAAACCCTTTGAACCCCTAAATCCCTCTGAACCCCACAAACCCTACAAAGCCTTGAAGCCCTCTAACCCCAACAAACCCTATGAACCCCAGAACCGTCTGAACCCCTGAACCCTCTGAACCCTCTAAACACATAGCCCTCAAACCCTCTAAACCCCCCAAACCCCCCCCAAAACCCGATAAACCCCTATACTCCCTAAACCTTGAACCCTCAATTCTAAACCTTACAAAGCCCCTCAACCCTAAACCCTACAAACCCCCCCAAACCACGTCCGGGGGGCATCCCTAGACTGTCCTAAACCCTAAACCCTAAACCCTAAACCCTAGACCCTAAACCCTAAACCCTAAACCCTAAACCCAAAAAACATTTCCTGACCGAAAAAAGCCTACAAACCCCCTCAACCCTAACCCAACAACTCCCCTAAGCTCTATACCCTAAACCACGCCCGGGGGCAAAACCCCCCCCCCAAAAAAAAAACCCTGCAAACCCTATAAACCATATAAGCCCGACAAACCCTAACCCTAAACCCTAAACCCTCAACCCTCAACCCTAAACCCCAAACCCCAAACCCCAAACCCCAAACCACGTCCGGGGGGCAAGTTCCACAGCGGGCTCCAGGCCACACACTCATCGAAGGCCCGCCGCGGGAGCTTGAAAGGCAACATCGCCTCTGGAGAAGGGCTTAGGGGTTTTAGGGTTTAGGGTTTAGGGTTTAGGGTTTAGGGTTTAGGGTTTAGGGTTTAGGGTTTAGGAGTAGGGGGTTTTAGGGGATTTTGCAGGGGTTATTAAGGGATTCTAAGGTTTTTGGTGGGGTTTTGGGGGTTTTTGGGGCTTTTGGGATTTGGGTGTTTTAGGGGTTTGGGGGGGGATTTAGGGGTTTTGGGTGTGGGTTTAGGGCTCAGGGCTTGGGGCTTAGGGCTACTAAACTGTGAGGGGGTTTAGGATTTGGAGGGTGTAGGTTTGTTTGGAGTGTGGCTTCTGGTTTGGGATCACTACACCCTAAACCCAAAACCCTAAACCCTGACCCCTTTGAAATGCGGCAATGTGGGCTCTTGGCCTGAGGAGTTGCTTTGTTTATACCTTGCCGTTTGGGGTTGTGGGTTCAGGTTTAGGGTGTAGGATATCAGGTTTGGGCCCTAAACCCTAAACCCTAAACCCTAAACCCTAAACCCTAAACCCTAAACCCTAAACCCTAAACCCTAAACCCTAAACCCTAAACCCTAGGCTGTATGGGGTTTCATGCCCAGGCTGTTGGGACCTCAGCCCAGTGGCCACGGGACATTGCGTCGCAGCACTTGCGTCTGCGCTCCTGTCCTGGGTCTAGGGTTTAGGGTTTAGGGTTTAGGGTTTAGGGTTTAGGGTTTAGGGTTTAGGGTTTAGGGTTTAGGGTTTCGGGTTTAGGGTTTCGGGTTTAGGGTCTAGCGATCACTTCGGGGGTTTAGAGATTTGAGTTTCAGGGTTTGGGCTTTTGAGTTTTGAGTTAGTGTGTTTAACGGATTTGGAGCCTCTAATGTTCGGGGTTTAAAAGTTTAGGGGCTTAGGATTCCGAGGCTCAGAGTTTGGAGCTGTTGAAGGTTTAGGGACTAGGGATTAGGGATTCGGGTTTAGGGTTTAGGGTTTAGGGTGTTTCGGGCCCCCTTCAAGATTCCTTTGTCCAGCTCCTGAATTGTTTAGGGTTTAAGGCTTGAGGTTTAGGATTTTGTTCGGATCGATCATCCGTAAGGGGCCGACGGCTTTGGGCTGTAGGGCTTTTTGGGGGAATTTTAAGGTTTAGTCTCAGGGTCTCAGGTTTTGGGCGTGTAAGGATAGTATGCGGACCCCATAAGGAATCGGAGGTCTAAGAATTAGGTCTAAGAACTAGATATGTTAGGCCCGTTGCAGCTGGCGAGAAGTATGGTATCATGCACAGAAGCTCTTAAGCCCTGAGGCTTTAAACCCCTAAACCCCTAAACAGGCAAACCCTTAGCCCTAAACCCCAAACCCGAAACCCCAAACCCCAAACCCTTAACCCTGAAACCCAAACGCCAAACCCTAAACCCCAAACCCTAAACCCCAAAACCCTAAACCCCACACCCCAAACCCTAAACCCCTAAACCCCAAACCCGGAAGTCCTTGGCGGCGTAGAGCAACCCATGCAGCTCAGCAAACCTGTCCCAGAGGGTCCATTGGAAGTACTATTCTGGAATACCCTAAACCCTAAACCCTAAACCTTATTTAGTATGGTTTTTGGGTACCTAATCCATAATGGTAATACAAATGGAGGGCCTCTGGGTGAGTTCGCAAATTTTTCCGATCCATCCACGCAAGGGACTGGCGGCGCGATGCTAGGGCTTAGGGCTTAGGGTTTAGGGGTTAGGGGTTAGGGTTCAGGGGTTAGGGTTAGCGAAAAACCTAAACCTCAAACCCTGCAAGCCCTGTAAACCCTAAACCCCTAAACCCTACAAGGCCTATAACCCCCCACTGACCCACATATTGACCCCGTGAACCCTATACTGACCCGTACTCACCCTATAAACAAACCATACCAACCCCATAACACCTACCAACCCCTCTCTAAACCCTATTACCCTAAACCCTATTCCCCTTTACCCTTAGCCCTAAACCCTAAACCCTAAGCCCTAAGCCCTAAGCCCTAAGCCCTAAGCCCTAAGCCCTAAGCCCTAAGCCCTAACCCTAAACCCTAAACCCTAAACCCGAAACCCTAAACCCTAAACCCTCATCTCTTGGGCAGCCGACTGCACCGCATGGGGGAGGAGGCGCTCTGCCGTAGCCTGGAGCCAGGGCACGCGTCAGGGCTGAAGACGCTTGGTAGGGTCTAGGGTTTAGGGTTTAGGGTTTAGGGTTTAGGGTTTAGGGTTTAGGGTTTAGGGTTTGGGGTTTGGGGTTTGGGGTTTAGGGTTTAGGGTTTAGGGTTTAGGGTTTAGGGTTTAGGGTTTGGGGTTTGGGGTTTGGGGTTTGGGGTTTGGGGTTTGGGGTTTGGGGTTTGGGGTTTGGGGTTTGGGGTTTGGGGTTTAGGGATGAGGGTTTAGGGTTTAGGGTTCGGGGTTTAGGGTAGAGTTCAGTCAGGGTTCACTTACAGGGTTGAGGCTTGTCAGGGTTGAGGTTTTAGGGTTTAGGGTTTAAGGTTTTAGGGCTTCCATTAGGGTATACGTAGGCTTCAGGCTGGAGAGGTCCGTTCATCCTAAATTTCATCTAGGGGTTGGCCTGGTTTTGAGGTGTTTCGGGCCCCAGGATGGCCTGGGTTTCTGGGGTGTAGGCTTGACAGGGTTTAGGGTTTAGGGTTTAGGGTTTAGGGTAGGGTTTAGGGTTTACAGGGTTATAGAGTTATAATTAGGGTTACAGGGTTTAGGGATTAGGGTTCTTTTGGCCGCCTGGGGTGGGTGGGGGGGGGAGGGCTGTTGGTTTAAAGCTTTTGGGCTTCACAACGAGGGCGTCATTTTTCTCGTGTTGTCTCAGGTCCCTGCTTTAACCTTGTGTAGTTTATACGAGACCTAAAGGAGGTTCTGCAGGGTTTTAGCCTTCAGGGTTTTGGGTCTGAGGTTTAGAGGCACAGCTACTCTGCACAACAGCGCAGGTTTTGGTGCTTGTGGGGGGAACCCTAAACCCTAAACCCTAAAACCTAAGCCCTAAACCTAAACCCTAACCAGGGAGCTTGGCGCCTGCAGGGACAGTTCTTCGCAGCGCAACGGCCGTCGCTCCTGGTTGCCTCTGGGCTTTGCTGGGTTTGATGGCAAGCAAAATCCCTAAGCCCTAAACCCTAAACCCTTAAGCCTGAAGCCTATCATGAACCCTGAAAGGGCTTTTGGTCTACATCTTGGTACATAGGGGTTGCGGGTGGCGTGACAACCCTCGCGCTCAGGAAACGCCCGAAAGGAACACATGCTGCTGATTGGAAGCTTCACGCCCTGCATCATCGTTATGTAGCACTTGTCCGCCGCAATCGCTCACCCTCGCTCATCCTGCCGGGACAGTATGTCAAGGAAGGTACTGTACCACAAATGCCGGGTACGCCTGTTCCCGATCGAAAATCACAAACTCCTGGTGTGCTTGATAGCCTTGCGGGTGCCATCTCATTGGTCCAGGCTTGACTACGACGGAAGAATGGGTACCTGCTGTGCCACTTCTGTTCGGAGGTCTCCGGGCTCCATATCGCGTTTCAGAGGCATAGTAAGCGTCGCCCAGTGCCACACGTGCGATGATCAGGGTCCTCTCGCAAGTACATGATCTATGGCGACACATGAAGCCGCAAGAGTACTGATGGCTCTTGCACGCAGCACCGGCAAAATACACCCCATCCCCGTACATCCCACTTACGCAGGTTCTGTGATCAAAGCCATGAAGAACAATGGAGTTGGCGTTGTCCCAGGAAGTACCATGCAGAAGTATCTTTTCATCCACATCAGGAGCCAAAGGTTCTCCGCAGTCGAAGATGGATTGGCTGGAAGACATGGCATCTGCACAACCATCAAGATCGAGAGCCGCTGGTTCTACCGAAAGGTTGTACCTTACGCGATCTTCCCTCATTGTAGTCAGCCTGGCTTGGTATCGGTGCCAAAGTTGAAAGTTCTCAATTCGATGAACGGACTTGACTTTGGCATTTCTGATGTGGGAGCAGGCAGAAGTACTGTCCCATGCGTGGCCAGTGGACTGCAGAATGTAAGTGACCCAATCGATGAGATGTGCGTCTGAAACATCGACGTAGAATGATGCCACCTTATCACTCTGTGCCAGCAAGTCAGCCGGGGCACTTACCCAATGCTGTGGCACGCCGGTAACAAGGCGAATCTTGCGAACTTTCCCTGTGTTGGGGTGCGTCTGAGTCATCCAATCGAAATCGACCTCGCGCTCAACTCCTCCAGCAACAATGAGTGCGGTGCGATTGTTCTGCGCATCGTGGATGTACGCCGAGTAAGCCTGATGCATCTGGTCGTCGCCCTCTGGCGAAAACGGGTGCCAGTGACCCTCCATCTCATATTGCCAGCTGGCTCCATGACTGATGGGATGGTTTTGTCCTTGTATGTCAGACAGCTGTTTCTCGACAGCTTCTCGAAGCTCTCGCTCTGCTGCCAAGTCAGCCAGCGTGGCTTGAAGCCGTGCTTCCTTAGGGTTGATCATGACCACAAGCCAAAACAGCCCGTACAAAAAGGGTATGAGTCTTTTGTCCCAAAGTTGCGGGGTCTTCGAACCTTGTCTCAAGCTTTATATCCTTGTCAACAGCTGTTTATCAGCAGCCGGCCGAACCACTGTGCTGTGCTGCTGTTGCGTCATGCTGTCGCTTGAGTGTGGGAGAACACACATGCGACACACAAAAGCGAGAGCTGAGGCAGAACAAGAAGTTACGAGTGGTCTGCATGCATGAAATGCGTCAAAGGCTCAACATCCTTCAGCTGCTTTTCTGCGTCTGCCCGCTTCTGCTGTTCAGCCTTCAATGCCCTCTGGGCACATTGGAGCCCGTAGGCCGAGGAGCCGGGATGAGAATATGTCCAATGCTGCACAGGCGGCGAGACCTGCTGAAGTGGCCATGAAATTCCATGCACCATTGGGTACAGAGCTGTCCTTATGTTTTCCCCAAACTCTTCGCCTATATGGGTCCAAGCTTAGATGTTCCACGGGCTAGGTGACCGTCTTGAATTGAAACTATGCGCACTACCTGGCGGAACAACAAGGATTGCAAAAGGACTGCAACTAGGCAGTCTTCATACACGACACCGGTGAAGTGAGCAGTGAAAACGCCAACTCTTAAAGACTATGTATGGTTGAGACTTTAACGGAGTCTGTCAAGTGGTGCTCTTGCAGATGCCTTCTGAGCCATGGAAGAGAGCATCTTCGACTCAATTCATTTGTTCTGGGTCCTATGACGAAGGTGGACAGCCTGTCAACACACAATTAGCAAAGCTCCAACCCTACGTGGGAGGCTTCTTTAAATTCAAGATCTTGTTTGTGGCGAACAGGGTTCGAAAGCAGAGGAAGTCCTCTCCGTGCAGCCTTCTGGGCACACTCGCGCCAATCAGGGCTCATAGGGTTTGTATTCGCAATCGATGACACGAAGAGCGCGTACCGTGAAACAGTCCACGCAGTGAAAACGCATGCCGAGCATCTCTTGGGTAAGCCATCGCGATTTACTGTGTCATCATTTTCTGCAATTCAAACACAACACCCTCAGTGACTCGTCACTCTCGCAAACCGAAAATCTATACTCAAGAAGACTCGAACTAGAGGCAGTCTTGAGCTGCACCTTTGCCCTAAACCAAACCCTAAACCCTAAACCCTTACAGTTGAAGTCGTACCCCAAGGCTCCAAATCCCCCAAGGGATGGATTTTTGACAGGCTGTAGACTCCAAATTATGCACGGGTTGTATACTTTTCCCACCGAAAGAAGCCTGGTTAGGGCTTAGGCCTTTCGGGTGCCCTAAGACTACCCTCAGCCCTAAACCCTAAACCGCTGAACCCTATACTTGATAACTGTATAAGGGAGCCTAGAAACAACAAAAGAAGGCCAAAAGGGTATCCCTAAACCCTGGAGAGGAGGTGCTGCAGCAAAACACTGTGATGCATGACCTTGTTGTCGTTTTGCATTCTCTCTTGTAGCTTTTAACCCCTGCTTCCCTAAACCCTAGACCCTAAACCCTAATTCCTAAACCCTAATTCCTAAACCCTAAACCCTAAATCCTAAACCCTAAACCCTAAACCCAATTCAAGTGGCAAGGAAGGGCCTCGGGTTCGATCCCATTGCAGCTTCACGGCCGCCGCGGAGGCCTGCAGGGTTTGGGGTTTGGGGTTTGGGGTTTGGGGTTTGGGGTTTGGGGTTTAGGGTTTAGGGTTAAGGGTTTAGGATTTAGGGTTTAGGGTTTGAGGTTTGGGGTTTAGGGTTTGGGGTTTAGTGTTTAGGGTTTAGGGGTACCGTTTTGCCCGTTTGTGGCTCTAGGTTGCTTCTAAAGTTATAAGTTGCACTCGGGAGGGTGCTTCTTTCTTGTGGCGGTTGGGTTTAGGGTCTATATGGCGTGTTTTATAGGGCTTATGGGGGTTTTTAGGGTGTGGGGCTTTGGGGATCTCAGGGATTCAGGGGTTTATGGGATTTATAGAGCTTATCGGGTTTATGGGGTTTAGGGTTTCGAGGAGTTAAAGGGCTGCTTGAGTTTAGGGTTTAGGGTTTATGGGATCGATAAGCCTTATGGGGTTTAGGGTCTAGGGTGTATGGGTTAAGGGTGGTGGTGGTGGTGGTGGTGGTGGTGGTGGTGGTGGTGGTGGTAGTGGTGGTGGTGGTGGTGGTGGTGGTGGTGGTGGTGGTGGGGTGGTGGTGAAGGGTGTAAGGCTTAGGGTCTTAGATAGCTCCCGGTTCATGGCGTAGGATTCATGGGGGTTGTGGCTTTTGAGTGTGGTGCTTATGGAGTTGAAATGGGCTTGTGTCGGGTAGATAGGCTTGCAGAGCTCGTTCTTACGGTTGATGAAGGTACTTTATTTGCAGCTCTGAGGGCTTGATGATTCTGCTGCAAGGTTTCAGCAGAGGATTTCCCCAAACCCTAAACCCTAAACCCTAAACCCTAAACCCGCCCCAGCAGGAAGCCATCCTCAGCTCTACACCATTATGATTTCACATGCCGCTGCGTCAGCCCTAAATCCCAAACAACTTGCGTGCTCTTTTGCAGACTACTACACCCAGAGGGTCCATTTGTAGTACTATTATGGACTTGGGTACCCAAAACCCTTTTTGGTACTTAATTCCATAATAGTACTACAACTGGACCCTCTGGGTATAGGGGGTCTTGACCTCAATAACGTACAGCACCTAGGATCCCTAAACCATGAACCCTAATCCCTAAACCCTAAACCCTGCTCCTTTTAGGGGCTCCGGGCTTAGGGCTTAGGGCTTAGAGGAGTTCAGGGTATATATAGGGCTAGAATCACCCTAAAGCCGAAACACGAATCCTGAATCTGCAGCCCTAAACACCTTGTGAGCCAGAAGCTCTGGTCAGGGTGTGCTTCACTCCGAACTCTGAACGCGAACTTCGACCAGAAGCCTCAAAGCAGCTCGGCTTTCTACCCTTTTCGACCCTTGAATTTTGGGTTTTCGGGATCTGTATTTTGAGCTTGACGTTTGGGGTCTAGGGTTTAGGGTTAACGGGTGCAATAAAGCCGAAACCCAGAACGCTTCCCCCAAGGACAGTTCGTGCCAGGATACCACTGCCACAGCCCGCCGGGCGCTCACAGCAAACATGACCCCTGCTGTTTGCTCTCTCAGATGAAGTGGCTGTCCAGGGACCGTTACGACAGCTAGTGCGGGGGGGAGGAGTTAGGATATGGGAAAAGTGCTTCGGACCGCATCATAAACCTTTCAGGCCCCCTGAAGCCCGTTTGCTGACAATGGTTCCACTTGTGCGAGCGTATTGTTCAGCTGGCGCACTCGTTGAGTCACTGGGCATAGCAAAACACTCAACCGTAAGCCTGAGCTCGCAAAACCCTAAACCATAAAATGGCAAAAACCCCTAAACCCTAAACCCTAAACCCTAAATCCTAAACCCTAAACCCTAAACCCTACAAATCCCTAAGCCCCTAAAGCCTTGAAGCAAATTTTCCCTCCCTACGTGCTTCAGAGCCGTCGGGGTCGGCCCCTTGAGCTTGAGCCGGCAAAGTACAGTCCACCCATGAGGGGGTTTAGGGTTTAGGGTTTTGGGTTTAGGGTTTAGGGTGATATTTTAAGAAAGGGTTTAGGTTGAAAGGGCTCCTTATACTAGGGCTTCGATGGCTTGCCAGGGTGTAGGGTGTGTCCAGCTTAGGATACATACATATATATGTATATGTACAAGTATATGTATCTGTATATGTATATGTACATATATATGTATATGTATATGTATATGTATATGTATATGTATCTGTATGTGTGTATATGTGTATATATATATGTCTTCTATTATATTGTAGTATATTATATTATACTATATTATATTATACTTTTCTGTTGTTTATGTTGTATGCGGCGTTCTCGGCCTGGACAGCTTGAGTGCGAAGGCCTTCTAGCGCTGATAGGGTGCGGGCACAGATTTCTTTGGCGTTTTGTCGGGTTATCGGCCCTGATCCCTCATCCCGAATCCCTAAACCCTAAACCCTAAACCCTAAACCCGAAACCCTAAACCCTAAACCCTAAACCACTTATTGGGCGTAGGGCGTGGGAATCCTCAACACTTAAACCTTCAGCGATGTAAGACTCAGGGTCCAGTGCCTCCGAATGGGTTTGGCATGTGGGGTTTGGGTTGGATGGCTTAGGGATCCGGGTTCGGGTTTAGGGGTTAGGGTTTAGGGTTTAGGGGTTAAGGGTTACGGGTTAAAGGTTTAGGGTTTAGGGTTTAGGGGTTTAGGGGTTTAGGGTTTAGGGTTTAGGGTTTAGGGTTTAGGGTCTTGCTTGGATGGCTTGTGTTTTTTTCAGGGTTTGGGTCGTAGGGTTTAAGGCTACCGGTTCAACATACATTTTGCTGTTCAATGCTCCGATGGAGGGGGTGATACTCCCAATGGCGTTCCAGTTTTGGATCTCTCTTACTCTAAACCCTAAACCCTAAACCCTAAGCCCTAAACCCTAAACCCTAGACTCTAAACCCTAAACCCTAAACCCCAAACCCTGAACCGTTCGTGTAGGTTGGTGGACTCGCGATGGGATCACTCCCCCCCCTCCCGGCTCCCCCCCCCCCCCGCCCCCGCCCCATCACCCCCCCCCCCCCCCCCCCCCCCCCCCCCCCCGACCCACCAAAAACCAAAAAGCTGATCCCTGAGTGCACCCAAAGTTTCCTGAATCCCTTAAAAGCCCTGCTGTACTAAACCCTAAACCCTAAACCCTAAACCCTGAACCCTGAACCCTGAACCCTAAACCCCCCCTCCCCGTATCCCGGCACCGTACCTTTCTCTGCCTGGGCGCTGCTGGGAGCAGCTCTGGGGGTACCACCCCCCAGCAGTGGTGGCAGAATCTGAAGCTTATTACATTTTAGGGTTTGGGGTCTTAGGGTGTTAGTTAAGGTTTAGGGTCTAGGGTTTAGGGTTTAGGGTTTAGGGTTTCGGGTTTAGGGTTTCGGGTTTCGGGTTTAGGGTTTAGGGTCTTAGGGTGTTAGTTAAGGTTTAGGGTCTAGGGTTGGGGTCTTAGGGCTTTGGGTTTAGAATTGCTGTAAGGGCTTCGGGCACCCAAGGATGAGGAGCTGGTGGTTTAGGGTTTAGGGTTTAGGGTTTAGGGTTTAGGGTTTAGGGTTTAGGGTTTAGGGTTTAGGGTTTAGGGTTTAGGGTTTCGGCTTTAGCGTACTGCCACAACAGCCGGCGGATGGTTCCCCGATCATTGACAGCTGCGTGACTCTGACTCCTAATGCTACGCTTGGCAATCGCCGCACCCCCCACCAACCTCGCAAGCCACAAGGCCTACCATAGGGTAGTTACATGGTCCTTAAGGATACTTGGGGTACTGAGGGTACCTAGGAAGTACTTAGGGTACTTAGGGTACTTCAAAGGTCTGAGGGTAGTTACATGGTCCCTGAGTATGGGCCCTTAAAAGGGGATCTGCCCG